TGTCTTAAAATCAGACATTGCACTTTCCTGGGAAACATTTGATTGGGTTGAAGTGGCAGATTTAGTCTTTAATACACCAGCACTCTGTATTTGATCAGTAATATTACACTGCTCTGCTGCTCTTCCAGAAGGTTCCTGGGCCATGGGTTCAAAGTTTTCATTGTCTGTTCTAATTATTTCCAAAGGTGCTTTTGACAAGGAATATTTTGCAGCATCTACAAAGTTTCTGAGCTCAGATCCCTGCCCTATTTCTTTTGCAGGATCTGGTTCTCTTACTGGATGATCACTCACATTGATTTCAATTGTTTTATGTGTGGATTCTGTGATGCCGGTTTCATATCCTGATGTGATAAGATTTAAGAGGCCAGTTCCTCCCTCCTGGTTTATTATATCTTTAACAGGGTGTACCAGTGCAGTGTCAGTGTCCTCTGGCAATAACGGTACTGTACTGATATTTTTCTCATGTGATTCCACTATTATTGAAGCATTTTCCTCATCAGCTCTGTGGATTGAAGGACTATATTCAGAAACATTTTCATGTGTTACCAGAGGCGAGTCTTTACTTTCTCCTCCAGGAATCTGTACAGACTCCTCTGGTATCTCCTTTAGTCTCTCAGTAGAATCCTGTTGTATCTTCGTTAATTCTTCAGGTTCACCTTCAATTGTGTTGTTGATTGTTAATTCATTCCTGCATTTATTGAAGTCAATATTGTTCATACCATTCATTAGTCCAGCATTTTGTATTAATTCTTGACCCATTTTTATATTAGTAGCACCCAGTTTGTTAGTTATGTTACCTGTCTGGGTGTGTGGTATTAATTGTACAGCTGAGAATGCCATTCTCTCCTTTATTTCTTTTGCCTTTCCTTCTGAAGTGTCACCACTGTCTGCAGTTAGTACTCTTTCATCTGGATGTGCCTGGGATGCATCAATTGCAGACATTGCTTTCATCGGTTCTGCTCCTGACTGTAAAGTGATATTTTCCTCTCTATTTTCTTTGATTTTTAAAACAGTCTCTTTGTCTTCTGGTTTATGTGAATATGCTGAATTTGAACTCTCTTTGTCATGGGTTGTGATATTCTTTGCCATTTCTTCATTCTTCTCATGAGAGCTGGTCATTCTGGAATTACTCAGTGCATCTCCCTCTAAGGTACCTTGAACTGCTTCCTGAGCTAAATTTGTGATGTGAGTACTTGCTTTTGTTAATTGTACCATTTCATTGGTCTGTCCATTTTCCAAATATGTTTCACTCATTATATTCGGCTGTATATTTCTCTCCATGTTCAACAAGCCAGAGCTTTGTTGAAAACATTTGTACCACGGACTGTTTTCTGATGGGCTACACTTTCTACTTGGTTCTCTCGATGATTCATTGGCATCTTGCTGCATTGCTACAAAATCAGATGCTTCTCTGTTGCCCTGGATTTCTTCAACCAACTGATTTTCTTTAACAACTGGAATAGTTACAGTTTCATTATTTGCTGTTGAATTGGTATTAATGTCTGAATCTATTAATAACTGTGTAGATTCTTGATAGAATCTGTAGAATATACTTTCACTCAATAAAGAAGGCTTGGTTGTGCTAGGAACCTTTGGCTCAAGCAAAGGGACTTGAGTACCCTGTAAAAATTCTGAAGTGTGATCAAGCTCATTTACAGAAGAAGTTTTGAACAATTGATCTGGTTTTTGAATGTACAATGATTTCTCAGTCTGTAGATAGCTGGAATCTGCAAACTCTTGGTGTTCAGTGGCTGTTGTGGATTCAGAACTGCTAACCCCATTTGATTGTATTGTACTTAGATCTGTGTCTGTAGCACTTTTGAAGTCAGTAATACCTGGCATCTTGGAAACCTCATCATTCTCATTTATAGCTGTTGATTCATTAGCACTTGTAGCTGTATCTTCATTCCATGCTTCATTCATCATTTCAATAGTTGTCAACGTGGATGAATTCTGATTAATTTGCTGATTTGGTACCTCTGAAGCTGTCTCCTCATGTACATGTGTTAGATCAGGTGCTGCGCTTCTTTGCATAGTTTGATTATACTTCTTTGGTGGTTTCTCGATTTCATATCCAGTTTCTATTGTGAGACTCCCAGTGGATAACCCTATAATGTTATCCTTACCTTTATGCTCTTTAGGCATGTCATTAGTACAGACATCAGGCATGCTTTTTTCATCACCAAACACTGTGACAGTTTCTGATACAGTTGTGTGCTCGACTGTTTGAGCCCCACTAGCGATTTCCAACTGAACGTCATATTTATTATTAAGTATTACTTTCTGTGTATCTACATTGTTGCTCAGGTGGATTGTTTTCACTGGGTCTGTTAAAGAGACAAGTATTTTTGGTTCAGCTGTAACATTGTCTGAAATGTCCACTGATAGGCCTTGATTTTCACCTTTACTCACAGGTCCTATTTTCTGTTCTTCTATATCATTTTGGTTAAACACAATGGATTCAGGAAGACCCAGTGTCTTATCTTCTGCTGATTGAGATGCAATTCCTTTCCCTTGTGTATCTGTATTATCAGCTTGTTGATTTTCCAAGGAAGGAAGAGTATTTGAATTGACAGGTTTGAAATTTTGAATTGTTGATGCTCCAACTGCATCTACAGTAAAACCGTGTGCCCATGGTACATCAGATTCAATCTTTTTTGTATCAATTCTCTTTGAAATGGATGGAATGTGTGTCTTTTGCTGCGGATTCACAATAACAGTTGTTTTGGGCAAACTATCAGTTTGAGTAGCTGTTGCCATGTCAACAAAGTCTTCATTTTTGTGACTCAGATCATTGTGATCTATTATTGGATTATCCTTCTGAACTAGATATTTTGTGTCCAGCTTGGGCATACCACTTCCTTTTGAATATAAGTCTTCAGGTGCCACAGTTAAACTGGGCACAGATATGTCATCAGGATTGACACCAGTCATCTTTTGTATACTGGTTGTGTTTGATACAGATGTACTGGATTGTACTGTTTGTTTCTGGATGCTATCTATTGTACCTATTGTCACTGTGCTGTAGTCAGTTATTATTTTAGTTATTTCTTGATGTGCTTCAGTTAATTCTATGTCCCTGTTGACGTCACTAAAAGAACTTTGCTGCACTGGTATTTCGTTTTCTGATTTTTCATCTTTGGCCAACTCTGGTCTGTTTGATGGACATTTCTCTCTGCCAGTTCTGGGATGTGATTCATCATTTCCTTTGCCATGACTTGATTGATTCATTGACGTTGATTCATTTGCCATGATTAAGGGTATATTTTCTTCTAATGGTGTTTGTATCCCGGTCATTTCCGGAGCCAGTAAAAGGACACAATGCTTAGTATCTTCTTCCTTTTGATCAACCAGTGAAGTCACATTCCTTTCATCTACTTCAGAGATTGTGGGATTTAGTGGTTGGAATGGTTTCCTCTGTGATCTCCTTCTTCTGATCCTTCTCGCCCCACAGTAAGTTGAATAGGTGATGGTCGGAGGAACGGACATGTTGTGCTCATTCTCAAAATTATGTCTTCCACTGACTCTATCTTCGAAAACGTGACTATTAATTTCTTTGCATTCATCAACTCCTGCCTGTGGTTTGGTTAGGCTTCTCTGATAAGCAGATGAATTGCTGACCTTCTGTAATGGAATACAGCTGCTGAACTGTCTTAATTTCCTGAAAATTAAAAGAGAAAACCGTTTTTAAAATTGTGAGTAATGCCCTGTGGACATAGTAACTTACAGCTTATGGTAAAGGACTGGTAACATACAAGCAAAGAGTTTAAACCCCCATGGGAAGCTATAAAATGTATTTCAAGAAATTTAATAATTTATTTTGGATAGCACCAGAAGTCAGATAATTTTTACAAAACTCAACTAATTCATTAATGCACCTTAGGGAAGGGAACCTACTTGGTCAACATAAAATAACTTCAACATTCATCATATTTTTAATGTAAATAAATGTTGCTTTTGTATTTGACCATTGGGAGCTGGGTTAGCTCAATTGGCCAGATGGCTGGTTTGTGATGCAGAGTGATGTGAACAGTGTGGGTTCAATTCCCTTAATGGCTGAGGTTACCATTTCCTCTCACCTGAAGCGTGGTGACCCTAGGTTAAACCCTTCCTGGAGTGGAGGAGTCCAAAACTACAAGGCACAGGTTTAAGGTGAGAGGGGAAAGATTTAAACAGGACCCACCGGGTAACTTTTTCTCGCAGAGGGTGGTGCATATATGGATTGAGCTGCTACAAGAAGTAGTGGAGGTGGATACAATTACAATATTTAATCGGCATCTACAGGGTATATGAATAGAAAGGGTTTAGAGGGATATGGGTCAAATGTTGGCAAATGGGGCTAGGTCTGGTTAGGATATCTGGTTGGCGTGGATGAGTTGGACTGAATAGTCTGTTTCCGTGCTGTATGAATCTATGATTCTATGACTCTCATGAAAGAGAACCCTATTGTCCAGTAAGCCTTGTCCGGGTGACTTTCCCTATCCTAAGAGCAAGTGCATAGGCTATGCATTTTTTGCATAGGCTAGAATAGTGTTTTAAACCAATTATAGAAAACCATAACACAATTTAGTGATGCATAACTTAACAACTTCCACCATCTCGATCGGAGCCAAGCCAGCGGGAAATAAGACAAGGAAGCAAAATGCATGAATCTTTTTGTTTGAAAAAGAAAGACTTGCATTTATGTAACATTTTTCACAATCAAACGACTCGCAGCACTTTACAGCAAAATAGTTGCTTTTATGCATACTCACTGTTGAAAACTCACCAGCATCATGTCAAGTGCAACTAGGGATAGGCAATAAATGCTGGCCCAGCCAGCAACACCCATATCCAAGAATCAATTTTGAAAAAAAGGAAACCTGGCAGCCAATTTAGACTCGGCATACTTCCTCAAACAGCAATGTGATATTAAGCAGTTATTTTGATTCGGAGGGAATTTTGACTAGAACACTGGGATAACTCTGCTGTTTTTCACCACTGTGCCAGGGGATCTTTTATGTCTAACTGAGTAGGCAGGTGATGCTTATGTTTAATGTCTCATGCAAAAGACAGCACTTCTGGCAATGCAAAGTTGCCTCAGTACAGCATTGTAGAGTCGGCATTGACTTTTGTGCTGGAGCCCTGGAGCGGACTCAAACTTGGAACATTATGATTCAGAAACAAGTGTTATATCAATCAAATTCCAGGTGACATTGATGTGTACTCAAATATATAAGACAACAGATTAAAAATATTATAACATTGATTCAGTCAGATACAGAAATTAGGACAGGCTGTAAATATTTAAACACCAATGTGGTCTCCATAAGAAATACAAAGTGATAGGATTTCTTCATAAAATGTCAGCATGAATTGAGCCCAATGAAATGAAACCATTTCATCTAATATTTGTATTATATAATTTCAGAATTTTCTGTGAATCACAAGCAACCCAATAATCATGGCTTATTTCAAAATAATGAACGCATAGTTAACATTATTTGAATCATGACATTGAAAACATTACATCAATTCCAACTCACATTAAAGTTAAAAGGTTTCAGGAAGAAACTATCAAAGATCATTAGAGTTTGTTGTATATTTATTGTGGGTAATCTGCAAACATTATTTAAGTTATTTTTAAATTATTTCTCTCCTGTCTTGTAAACTAATGGTCAAGGATGATTGCTTTCTATTTTTGAATTTAGCTTTCTAGCTTTGAAAGTCATGGTAAATCAAATATAAGAACTCATTTATATCATCTTCTCATTCACATCTGTGGGTGAAGACCACACAGTGATGTGTTGAGCTTTTCAGGCTGTAGCTAGTTCCCCAGTGGTGCAGAAGGAGCAGTGGCACAGCTGGGGCTTGAGCTGGTGCTGGGCTTCCAGGTCTTGGTGAGTGGGGGTATGAGTGGGAATTGAAGACCTTAGAGGGGCATTGTAAGTCATTTTATTGGAAGCAATTGGTGGCCGGTGAGCTCAGGAGGCAAAGAAATGACAAATGACTAGAGGAATTGTTTGATGGCCAGGTGGGAAGTGATTGGAAAAAATGGGAGTTGTGAGGAGGTGAGTTGCTGGAAGGAGGGTGAAGTCTGGGATCAAGGTATAGAGGACAGACACTGGGAATCCTGAGATCACAGGAATGGGAGACAAGGAGAGCAGCAGAAATAATAGTCAGAATGATGCTTTAGAGGTAAGTAACTACTTTATTTTGCAGGCACCCTTTAGAGTTGCATTCGCAAATCCAAGCAGCACTGGCCAAGGACAAATCAATGTTGCAATGTTGACAGGGAATTTACTGCTGATGGCAAGTATTTTAAGACTTTGGTCTAAAATGTGAGCACCTAGCAATTGTTACTAATCAAGCTTCCTAAGGTTTCAAAATGGTGGACATGAAGTGTAAATTAGGCTTTGGGCTCCTTTTTTGTATATGCAAATTGCCTAACATCTATTTTTAAATGCCAATTAAAAAACCTTCTGTTTGTCTTTCCTAATATAGAAAACTACACCTCATGTCAGAAATTCACAAGCATCGCATCCTTTATTTTCAGCTTTAGGAAAACAGATTGTACCTGTAGAACAAGTGCTGGCTGCTCAATTTCTTTGCCAACGTCTTAAAATATTTGTCATCCACTCTAAATCATCTGTCAATTTTGCAATAAGTCCTCATATAATTTGTCATCAAGACCAACATCTGAACAGTCACATGTTTTTTGAGTGACAAACTAAATTAATGTAATCAGAGATAGTAGGAACTGCAGATGCTGGAGAATCCGAGACA